TAATCCTTTCTCTATCTTCTTTCTAACCTTAATTAGTAATCAGATTTATGCCCTTGAATTTACATGTGAAGATCCTCACGATAATAACCTGAGCATGACTATCGTCATGCATAGGTTATTATTCTCACTCGGATTTAATTTATTAATCAAACGAAATAACACAATGGGAGAAAAAAGAGAATCGTAAAGAAACAATAAAATATACTTGTCTTTTCTTTTTCTTCTCTCTTTTTTTTTTTTTTTTTTTTTTTAAAATCCCATTTTTAAAGATGTATTTTGTAATGCTGTAGAGAAGGAATGAAGATAAAGTTCTACTGAATTTGAGAGCCATCCCCCTATGCTCATGATTTGTGGTAGTGTTAACCCAGCCTTCATTGCACCCGTTGCACCTCCAATGCGTAAACTATGCCCTGAATATTTCCCACTTAACTTTGCATGTTGTGTCATTCTTTTTATTATTGCATTTATTGTTCCTGTTGATAAGCATTTTCCTGAAGCATTTAAAAATAACCAATCTCGATCATTAGTTTTTCCCTTTGTTTTCAAATATTGATAGATCAGTTTTACAGAACAATATCGTGAATTAGTAGGATCTACTGGTATGAATTTTCCTTTAGCATATTGATCCGTTTTTGATTTATTTATTCTGATCCACAAGAGTCCTTCTTCCATTCTAATGTCAGGAATTCGAAGATTGCAAAGTTCAGCAGGTCTTCTCGTCCAAGTGCAACCAATGCACAATTTCTTTTTCAAATTTGTTTCACAGCTTTCACAGGTGGGTTACTAATGTAATTATGTAAGGCTTCAATTGGAAATAGGTCCTGTAGGCATACTGCTTCCTTATCTATAGCTGCACATTTTAACAAATTTTTGACAAGACACTGTACATTAAAGTTTTGAGTTGGATCCAACATTTCTAATCTACGATGGTGATAGCTAATTGCTATTAAATACCAACGTAGCTTTTGGGACTTTGCTAATAGGTCCAACCAGGTAAGAAATATCATAACCAACTCAGAAGAGGCAGGGCACGAATTTAATTTATGATAATTACAGAAAGTTACGAATTCTTGCCACATTATTGTAAGCCGTTTCCCATATGCCAATTTTGGTTTAATTGTATCATGTGCTTTTTCTAATAATGCCCTCAAAAACAAACTTTTATTGCTTGAAATTTCCATTGTAAGTTTTTCCATGGTTCTGGTATTAAGTTGCTTCCTGGATTTGGCAAAATACATTGTCTGGCTGGTGGAAGATTTACTATTTCGATTTTCTTTTGTAAGAAGATTGGCCACCATATAGTGGAGGGCCATACCGATAAGATTATTATTGCTTGTGCTTGGCACTGAGTTCCATGTTCAAATATCCTTTGAATTAAGCTTAAAGGCAGGCAAATATAGTTGATTTCGTGTTTCCAATTCATGGTGAAACAATCTGTTGCTTCTGCTTCTGGGCAGTAATAACGACTGTTGAACCTTAACACCTTTCTTGTTCGAAGGCTTGCCATTCGATCTATTGTGAAATGTCCCCATTTCTTGTTTAATTCTTTGTATACACTTTGTGCCAACACCCAATCGGATTCGTTGAAAAAACGTGTTAACTCGTCTGCAGGATTTAATTGGGAAGGTACCCAGCAAAATTCGTGAATTTGCACATCGTGTTCGTCGCAGAAACTCCATACTTGACACATTATTTCCTTTTGCCATGGTCTTCTTTCTCCCGCTTCTATTGTTTTTCTTGCAACTTGATTGTCTATGTATATAGTGACCCAGCGATGCGCAATTATGTGTGCAAATGATTCGAGACCTAATAATGCTGCTGTTGATTCGAGGAGAGCAATGTCTGTGTGTTTGTGATGATACTTCCAATTTCCGAATGCTTTTTTCTCTCCTAAAGTTGCTGACCACCCCGTAGTCGAAGCATCGACATAAATTTTTAGTATTTGTGAAGGTTTCCAGGCCAATCGGGCATTTTTCTGCCTTAAATTTTCTTGAAGCCATTTGATATCGAGTACTGCTTGCTGTGTCAATTGCACAAAATTGTCTCATTGCCATTTTTTCCTGTTTTCCGCATCTATAATTGCATAACATTCTAGACACCGGGTTTTTGCATATACAAATGCCTGACTCAAACTCATTGTCTGTCCTACAACCACTGATAAACGTCATGCTGTTAAAGAATTTGTTGTAAGAAGGTTTTGTAACCCTTTTAGCACTGTATTTATCTTCGATTCTGGTGCAGTCACTTGACCTGTTCTTGTATTTAGTATTAAACCATAATATTTTGGTTCCTGGGTCAGTTCTAGACAACATTTTTCGGCTAAAATAAAGCCACAGTTCTTCAGGTCCTGAAATATTACTGAGTTTCTTATATGAACCAATGTTTCTCTGGATGGGTGTGCTACCCAAATATCATCGAGGTGATTTCCACAAAAAATGCCTAACGATCTCCAATGACTTATTATTGACCTCATTATCTTTGCAAATGTCCATACTGCTAAACTTAGACCGAATGGTAAAACTCGGTAATGATACCATTTTGTCCCTATTCTGAAACCTAACAACCTTTGCGCTTTTTGATCCATCAATATGTGATGGTAGCCCTCTTTTAGATCCAACACTATTACCCACCAATTCTTCTCTGTCATTCTTAAAAATGCCTTGAATCCTTCAAATCGGAATAATTTTTCTAGAAGAGTTTGGTTTAAACATCATAAATCTATAATTAGCCGCCACTTTTTTGGACCAGGTTTGGGTATCAAAAATATTAGGCTCACTTCGAGCAAATATGATGGTCGGGTTGGTGATTTTGCAACCATTGTTATTGCTTCTATTTCCAACAACCTGCGTATTTCTTCCTCTATCCACAAGATTTGGTCTTGTGTTAACATATATTGGAGTGGGTCTGGTTTAGAGGCCTGCGTTGGGCCCCGCAGCCCGGGCCTGAAGCAAAATTTTATAATTGCGGGCCGGGCCGGGCCGAAAAATTTGCAAAACTTTATAATTGCGGGCCAGTGTGGGCCTAAAAATTTGTAAAATTATATAAGAAATTTTTGCGGGCCGGGCCGAGTCGGGCCGGGCTGAAGAAAAAATTTAACATATGCGGGCCGGGCCGGGCCGGGCCGGCAAAAAAATGATAACCCTAAATGCGGGCCGGGCCGAGCCTAAAAAAAATTTTTAACCCTAATTGCGGGCCAGGCCAGGCCTCAAAAATAGGCAATTTGCAGGCCCCTAGTCTGGTTTCCTTATTAGATTCAATAGTCCCTTTGGATACAATGTTATACCCTTTTCTAGCCATTCTAATACCAACTTTGGAGCTTGAATTTTTTGATTCCAATAATTTAAATGTTCTTTTCAGTATAACCTCCCCACAACTGGTATTTTTTGTTGGTCCCGAGTGTAGTTAATCACATTTATTTTCTTCACTAGATCCTGAGTACTTATTTTTATAGGTCGTATAACCACGTGATTTGTACCCGAATCCCCTTTCTTGTCCTGAGTTTTTATAGGGATCTAATGGACACATGTTTACATAATATTCTGCTCCATCACAGATGTAGCACTTGTCTCTCGTATTTGTACTACCATTTCGAGTTTGGGTTTGGTAATTTGACCGAAAAAACTGCCCATTATTTGGGTGATACACTGTTGGTGGGATGTTTAGATTTCTCTTTTGGTAATTCCTTCCCCAATAAGGTTGGGCCAAATCTTCTGTATAAGTGTGAGTTTTTCTCTTTTTATTTCTTCGTGCCTCTGCTAACACTTTTGCTTTTTCAATTTCTGGTTCTTTTCCTTTTAACAATTTATTTTGCGTATTTGGCATAGCTGCGGCAACATCCCACCTGAACCCTTCTGCAACACATAATGTGACCATTCTATCTGCTACCAACTCACGAGCACAAGTAATATGGTTTACCGCCTCTGTTGTGTTTTGCGAATCTAATGCCAAATCTAACTCTTTCCCAACTGTACACTAGGCATTATATTCATGTTGATCACATGCTCTTTCAAATTTATGAGCCAGCCAGGTATCATTTATTTCTCCTCTATTTACTTGGGCTACTATTGTGTTTAACTTATAATCAAAATCTGCTATCACACTTTCTAGGTTTTCAAATTTTGCTAATACCAATTTCTGTAGAGAATCTGAATGGCTATCATTCATGTCCTCAGGTAATTGTTGCTTTTTCATTTTTATAGTATCTTTATATGGTTGATTATTCAACTCTTGTCTTAGTATCAAACCTTCAGGCACTTGATAATTCAATAAATCCTGATGAACTGTTAACGATGGTTCTCTTGAGTTATTTCTTCTTGTGCGTTGTACACGATCTCTCAAGCCGTTAATTTCCCTGCTCTTGTCTCTTGTCTCCATGCCAGTCACGTGTTGTTCTATCTCTGAATTTACATCATCCATGTAACCTTCTTCTTCTCTAATACATGGTGAGTTTGAATTCCTTGTTCTTGATGCTGACATATTTGAATGAGACTTAAGTCTCTGCACCAAATCGGCTTTTACTCCATCTGTGGATAGCCCTAGACCCCGGCAAATATCCTCCAAATCACCTTTTGACAGGTTTGACTTTGACATAATGATCTATTGTTCTTTATATATTTTTTCCCTTTTTTTTTTTTTTTTTTGAGTTTGTTCAGTTTGTTTAAGTTTGTTTTAGTTTGTTTTTGTCTGTTTACACTTATCAATACGTCTAATTTGTGCTTCGTCTTCCCCTTTTTTTTTTTTTTTTTTTTTTCTGCTTATTCTGTAAGCTTATTTATGCTCATTTATGCTTTATATTTATCACGTAATTTTTATTTCTATGTAGTTTATGTATTTACTACTTTGTTTTACTTGTTATAGATGGGGCACTATGAAAGAGCCAGACTAAAGTCAGGCAGCGAAGAAAAAAGGCACTATCGATCTCATCTTGTCACTTAGCCTTATAATCCTTTTTCTATCTTCTTTCTAACCTTAATTAGTAATCAGCCCTATAAGAAATGTGGAATGTGATGGCACGGGTTGGCATCGTAATGGCATGTGTTTCAGTGGCACAGATAAAAACCCAGCTTTGTACGTAAGAGGTTCGACTTGGCCCGGATTTTTCGGCTCATGTTGGACCGTAAACCAGTGCCAATTGGATAGTTAATGACTCGGGTTTTGCAACACTTTACTAGTCCAATTGGCATGGATTTTGGTATGGGTTAGTAACGCAATGGCATGGGTTTAGTTGGCACTGGTTTGTACATATAGGTTTGAATTGGCATGGGTTTGGATAACACTGATTTGTACGTATAGGTTTGAATTGGCATGGGTTTTGTTGGCACTGATCTGTACGTATAGGTTTGAATTAACACAGAATTTGGTGGTCCTAATTTGTATGTACAGGTTTGAATTGGCATGGAATTTTGGTGGTTCTACTTTGTACGCAGAGGTCTGAATTGGTCTCAATTTTTTTTGGCTCATGATGAACCGTATATTAATGCCAATTGTATTGTTAATGATTCAAGTTTTTACATGAACAATTACCGTAATTTATATCTTTTATCATAATAATAAAATATAAACAGTATTATACGAACAAAATATTCTAATATATTTTATTCTGCTTAACTACAGTAATATATATATTAAATTCTAACTTTGCTTAATCTAGTTCTATCATTAAATTTACTATTAATATTGGTTTTTGAAAATTTTCTGTTTTCATTAACCAATGATGAAGGTAATAAAGTATCTTTTTTTGTAATCCGTTTAGGTAAAGAATTTTCAGAATTAATATTGTATTTTTGTCGTGTTCGATTGCTTATTTTATCTGTAGTTTTCATAGCAGATATATTCGATTTTAATGTATCTACAAATAAATCAAAACATTAAATTATTAAATTAAAATAATTAATTGCAAATATAATTTTTATATTTTACCAGATTGCGAAAAATTATTTTTTGAGATTTCTTCATCACTACTAAAAGTAGTAGTACATGCAGTATCACTTGGAGAGTCAAAAAGTTCATCATCTTCATCTCTAGAAACAATTATATTATTGCTAGAAGTAGATGCTTCAAAACTACTAAAATTTGATATAGCAAAATGTTCTTCATTATCATCTAAATAAATAAATTTAAATATTAAAAATTTTAAGATATGTTATAAAATAGAAATTTTTAAAATTAAAATTATATAAATCTATATTATTTTAATAAACTAAATAATTATTTAAAATAAACATATTAGCTATCTTACATTCGTGCATAACAGTATCCTCTTGATAATACTCATCAAATTCTATAGTAGTTTCAACTATATTTTCTTTGTCAGTACTGCTACGCTTTTCAATATTTTTATTGATTTATTGTAATGTTTCTAATTCGTTTTCATTAGTAGCTTGTAAATTAGAATTAACAACTTTAAAATTTGCTTTTTTGTTTCTTCATCTAAAATTGTCAGCTATAAAATATAAATTAATTTTTTAAAAATTTTAATTAAATAACAATTATATAAATATATTAAAGTTTACCTCTATCTACTAATTTTTGCTTTAAGCATTCTTCAACAATCCATTTATTAGAACCGATTTGATGTTTATGTTTATTATAAACCTAAAAAATATAAATTATACGTATAACTTAAATTATATATATATAATATAAATTTTAATTAATATTTATTAGCTTACATCTAAAATTCAACTTTCTCTAGCAGTATATCCTAATTGCGACCATGTAATAGATTCTTTAATATTATTTGCTTCAAGATGTGGTGTAAAATCAGCTTTAATTTTTGAAAATTAATTTTTTGGTAACCAAGAGCATAGTTCTGAAAGTTTTAGTTTTGATGGTTTACTTTTATCTCTTTTTGGTGGTTGAATATTGGGTATATCAGTTATGTCTTGTTCATTTTTTTTGCTTTCAAGAAGCTTATTAAGTAATTTTCGTTGTTTTTCATAAAAAAATTTTAAAATATCTATTTGCTGATTTTGTGGCAAAATATTTAAAGTTTCTTCTTTTGGAAGTTCACAATCTGAAATTTCTTTAAGTAAATACGAATAAGAAATAGAGGTAGACATGTTGATATACAAAATAAAAGTTAGAATAAACAGTTGTAAAAAAATTACGATAAACAAAAAAAAAAGATGTTTTTTGTTTTGAAATTTATATAAGGAAATGATTATCTTAATTATTTATATAATTTTAACCAATCAAAATTTATATAAACAAAAAATCTATATCATTATAAATTTATAATTTCAGCCAATCAAAATTAAATATAAATAAAATAAAAAATTTAACAGTTTTTATATTAGTTTAAGTTGCAAATAAATTAGTTAAACTTTTATTCTTATATATAAATTTTATTTTGTAATATATAATTTTAATTTATTTTAACACTTTTATACTAAAATATATAGTTAAAATTATTAATAAAAATATATGCAAAATTTTATTTTAATACTAAAAAATATTAATTAAGTTATAAATTTGTATAATACCAAATAGCAAAAAGTTATTTTTTTAAAGATATTAAAATTTAAAATTATATATATATTTGGTATTAAGTTAAGATCTTATTAATATCTTTATTAATAATTTTAACTATATATTAATATATTATATATTAAAATATATTAAGAATATATAATACAAAAAAAACATTACATATAAAAATTAAAATTTAAACAATTTTTTATAACCTAAACTAAATTTTTTTTGATGTTAAGATGAGGTTTTGCTCATATCTTTATTAGTAATTTTAGTTATACATATTAATATACTATATATTAAGATATACTAAGATTATAAAATACAAAATAAAACTACATGCAAGAATTAAAGTTCAAACAACTTTATTTGCAATCTAAACCTTTAAACTAAATTTTAAAATTATATAATTAAATATATTTAATTAATTTGCATATAATAAATACTAATTAGTTAAAAATATATATAAATAAATTTTATTTATATATTAATAACAAAATTTTAATTATATATAAACTTTAAATTTTAATAATTTTTTGTTTTTATATAAAAATAAAGATTATAATTAATTTTTATTCTAAATAATATTATCTATATTATAAAATTTTTATTACAAGAAAATTTAATATTAAAAGTTAAAATTAACTTTAGATTAGATTAAAAAAATTTAAATATATAAAAAATTTTATTTTAAAAAGCTTTGCTTATAAGTTAAGTATGTTTTTTATAATAAAATCTTAAGTAATTTAAATTTTTAATTTTTTTTTTATATTATTTTAGTTATATAAGATCTAGTAATTTAATTAGTCTTTATACAATTAGATAATATTATTTAAAATAAAAATTAACAATAGTTAAAAAAATTATTTAACTAAAAATAAACTAAATTTTTTTATATTTTATATAAAATATAAATATTATTTGTTATTTAGTATTATATAATATATAAAGTATAAATTAAATTTAAATTTAACTTAATATTAAAAATTAGTTTTAAAATTAAAAAATTATAATTTAAAATTTTATAAAATTTTTTTTTGTTATAATTTAAAGGTATTTTTATAATTAAAATTTAAAAATATCAAAATATTTATATATAAATATTCTATATAAATAGTAAGTATAGTCTGTATTATCACTTTTAATATATCATATTTTATAAAATAAATTAAAAAATTTTATTAATAATATTAAATTTAATGAATATTATTTTAAATTATACTTTTAAAATTATATACAATATAATATTAAGTTTTAAAAACAAACTTATTATATATTAATTAAATATTTTTTTTATAATTTACAAATTTATAAAAAGAAAATTACATTATTTTACTACTAGTAATCATTATCAGTAATTTACAATATTTAAATTTAAATTTTTATTAAAGCAAAAATTGATTTTTTTAATATTAAATTAGGGTTTAAAAGCTTAAATTAGAAGAAAAAAAGGTTATACTTAGAATTTTACAGAGAATTTTTTTATTAAGACCTTAAAGTAGTTTTGTTAATAAACTTTATTTATATTATATACTGGTAATAATTACAAATAATGATAAATAGCAAATCTTTTATAAAAAATATTTAAATTATTTAAATTTTAATTTATATTATATAAACTATTATTTTATATATATAATAAATTTTTTATAATTTATAAATAAGTATTAAGTTTAGGTTACAAATTATATAGCTAGTCTTTATTCTTTATATATAATTTAAAAACAAGCTTTTTTTTATAAAATTTTATTTAAATTTTAATAAAATTAAAGTTATAGCCTTATCTTTAATAATTAAAAAAATAAATAAGCACTTGTAAATATAAAAATATAATAATTTTTTATATAAAATTATACTTGTATAACAAGTTTATAAAATTAATATTAATATATTTTTAAATAATAAAAATACAAAGGGTTGCTATATTTTTATGAGCATTTTATAAAAATTTATAATGAGTTAACTAAAAAAGATATTATACTAAAAATTATATAATAAACTTATTAAATCTAAAGTTTTTAAAAAAAAGATTATAAAATTTTATGCAGTATTTTTTAAGATAATTAAGATTATACAAAGTTGTATAATATTGTACAGAACAGAAAATAGCAATTTATAATATATATTTTATAGTTAATAAATATTTAAATTAAATTATTAAAAATTTTATTAATTAAATTTATGTTATTTTTTTTATTAAATTTACATAATAATACAATTCTAATATTAATAAAATTATTTAATTTTAATTAGTAAAATTTAAAAAATATTAAATATAAATTTATCTAATTTAATCTAATTTAAACTAATATTTATAAAAATTTTAATATATAATAAACTTAATTTTTTATTAAGTAAACTTGTTTATATTTTCTAACTAAACTTGTTTAATATAAAAAGTTATATAAGGTAAAAGAAAATATTATAATGCAGAACCAATTGTAATATATTTGTGATATCTTGTGATCTAGTAATTAGAATCAGATGATTTTGATATCAATTAATTCATCTCGATAAAACAAGTCAAATAGTACCAAAATTATATGATTTAAATTATTAGATCACAAGATATTGCTATTTGAATGTTGCATAGTAATAATTTTTCTTTAAAGCTTTAGTGAAGCATAATAACAATACATATAAAAGTTAGATATAAATTAGTGTTATTAATCAAAAACCTAAACTATAACTAAGTTGATGTTATAAACATCAACTTAGTCTGCTTAGTTAACTAAGTAATAAAATATAAATATTAATTTAAAGATAATTTATATGATTATAATTTGTTTTTACATGATCAGTATTGTTAATTTGCTTCTAGCAAGAATTTCTGGCCTTCTATTAAGATTTTGCAATAGTAAAAGTTCTAGTAACCTTTTGGTGCTAACATTGCATATGATCATCTTGCATTGTTAAATCCAGATCATATGTTTGGCACTATGTATTATTTGTATTATATTCATTATTTGATTAATCAAATCAATCAAAGAATTCAAGATGCAAATGTTTTTTATTTATGCCAGAATTCTTATTAAGAGTTAACTAAGCTGATATTTCAAAAAATCAACTGACTTAGCTGACTAAGTTAACTAACCTCTAATTAGCTTATAGCATTAATATTTGTTTTGTCTCTTATATACTTGCTATTAATAACTAAAAACATATGTGTTTATTTCTTTCATGTCGAGCATCCTATGCAAATTTTATAGAATCGAATATAATTTTTTTTTTTTACTACTACAAATTCTAAATGATTGTCATCACAACAGGCCATAACCAAAATGAACATTTAGACCAAAAATAAAATATCATATGACTGTTGTTGTGATCTATTATCAATCTTAATAAACAATGAATTAAAAGTTCTACTAATAATTTCAGAATGAGAGGGAAGAGATTAACAAAACCAGACTAAAAGTCAGAGTTGCAAAAGAAATAGAATTATCTCTAACTCTATTTATTACAATATTTAAATACTAAAATCAAATAAACTCATTGTTTTGAACATATTAATTAAAGTTTAATCAAAGTTTATAGTGCAATTTTATATATTTTTTATATGCTATTTTTTATTATACATATAAATTTAAGTAATAAATTTATTTTTTTAAGTTATAACTTATTTTGATATAGCAAAATACAATTAATTTGGGGTACTATAAATATAAATTCTAAAACCAAAGTGTGTTTACTGCAAATCATGATTCTTAGCATTCAGAAAATGTATACTGTGTTTGTAATACAGACAAAATTCTTAAAATTCATTAATGTTTTTTTTTTTTTTAAATATTAAGATGAGTACTTGCGACCCAGGATTTTATTGATAGTACATTCAGCTAATGGTTGC